CTACATAAAATTTTTTTTTTCAGATTACAATCGACGCGTTACCTAACAGGACTGATAACTTTAGGCTTTGTAGTATTGTTCTTTTTCGTATTTACGTCCCACCATGTCCACAACGACCACAACCGTATTCCCGATCCAGAATCTCCAATTCCGCCATCGAGTATGCCGATGGGTTTATACACAAAGATCGGTGTTGTATCCAACGGCGGACCGTGCGCACAAATCGGAGTGTAATAATTAATAAATATTTTATCTTTTAGATGGAACATTAAATTGATGGGTAGCTACTAGCTACAGTGTAAAGTTTTTTTTGTTATAGAATATCTATAAAATATTTTTGAAGTATTAAAAAAAAAGTGAACAACATTTTAAAGAAATATCACAAAAACATTTGTGTATTTCGTAGTAGGAGAGTTAGATAGTTTTTTTCCTTTGATTGTTCAATTACCTGCCACTGCCTTGCCCTGTACAGTGTACACCTTATCTAATATTATTTTTTTACAATTAATAAATACAACTCTTATAAAAAAAAATGTGTGACTTTTGTAATGAAAACAAACATCAATTAATTTCATTAAATTCTCGGACATCAAAGTGATAATAATATTTTAGTAATTCAAAAATATTATTGTTTTTCGAAGGGAGGTGATGTCAAAAGGAGGAAATGCCATTGATGCAGCAATAGCTACAATGTTGTGTGATGGAGTTCTGTGTCCCGAGTATATGGGTATTGGTGGAGGATTTTTAATGAGTATTTACAACGCGACGACCAAAAAAGTGATGACGATCAACGCGCGTGAAATAGCTCCTGCTGCGGCGACTACATCAATGTTTGTTGAAGATCCATTGAAATCTATATACGGTAATTCCTACGTACATATTCAATAAAACATTTAAAAAATATGGAATTGAAACAACAACTATACAGCTAGATGAATTATTTATGAAATATATATAAATAATTCAACTATTARAGTGCCATTCAATGAKGCTTAGGCAGTAAACATTTTATCTGTAAACTGGTTTCTGATTTTGTAAATTTTAGGTATAATATACGTAAATGGAGTAAAATTTATATTGATTTTTAAAAATCATTTAAGATTATCTAGCGGACACAATATGGCATTATTTACAAAAATTATTTTGATTTCAAATTTAATTAATAGTCTTGTCATTATTAATTGTTAAATATTAGTAATTTAAGTTTATGCCAAGTAGGCATTGATTAATTTATGTTTTAAAGAACAAAGTAAAACCTTTTTATCTTATACTATTCTTAGAAATAATAAATCATAATAATCATATCTAAGCCAATCATACCCAGTCTATTCAAGTTTTAAGTATTAACTTTTATCAAATCATAGTATAAAGTATACAATACAGTGTAATTAACCGAGAGTCATTGAAATTCAAAGACTTTTATAAAAAATGAGTTAACTAATTTTTAAATCTAGGAGGAATGGCAGCTGCAGTTCCAGGGGAACTCAAAGGCTATTCAACAATTTATAATTTATATGGTGGTGGCGTTTCGTGGGAATCGTTGTTTGAACCAACTATTAAATTGTGTAAAGAAGGCATGACAATCAGTAAACGTTTAGCAATGAACTTGTATAATCACGAAGACTTGATAAAAAATGACTTGTTGCTCAGGTATAAAACATTAAGTATTTAAGTGAACATTAAAACAAGATTAGATTTTATAATTATTTTAGTGCGTATATATGTTACATACAATGTCCGGAATTGTACATTTCGCAATTTGTACAGTGATTTTTGTACACATCGCGAATTGTACAATGTTGTTGTACAAAGTAACTAGATTGTACAAGTTTCATTATACAATTCGCGATGTGTACAAAAATCATTGTACAAATTGCGAAATGTACAATTCCGGACATTATATGTAACATATACATATAATACCTTGTCATAAAATAAATATTATTTACATAAATTAATAAAAGTGTTGTATATTATTTTGCAGAGAAGCGTTTTTTAATGAAAAAACTGGACATGTAAAAACTGCTGGGGAACAGTATACTTTTCCAAAGTTAGCAGAAACAATGAAAATTATAGCAAAAGAAGGTGTAGATGCCATATATAATGGTTCGTTAACATCTAAGTTATTAGAAGATTTAAAAGAAGTGAATGGAATAATCACAAAAGAAGATTTAGCCAATTATACGTAAGTAATTTACTTTATGCATTTTACTATAAGTATTATGATGGGTTGAATTAATTTTTGCTGAATACATTGTATGTTTAAAATATAATAATATAGCAATGTTAAAAGTTTTGAGAACCCATAAATAATTGATTTAAAATAAAACAAAATAGCTAAAGTATAATTCTAAAAAAAAAAATATGGCTGTTTAAAATAATAATAATAAATTATTATTATGATAATTAATAATAATTATTAAATCTAAATCTAATTTCGACAAAATCTAATCTTCGAATGTCTATAAAAAAAACTGCCGTTTATATTATTTTTATTTTTAGATTTTTTGGTAACAATAATATTAATAACTATTTATGATTATTCTAACGTATTGTAATTGTTGAGCTAGATGTATAATAAAAAGCTAATAATAATAATAATTTAAAAAAAAACTATTTATGAGATAACTTGTATTCTATTTTCAATTCTTGGTAATAAAAATCGAAAATTTTACAAATTTTAACTGTAAAATCATTTACACATTTTTAAGATTTCAATTAAGTTTGTTCTTCAAGTTTGTATGTATTTCTATTTTGTATAGCATCAATTCAGCTGCTGTAATTAATGAGCTTGCTTCAATGAAGAACAATTAATTAGAATTTTCTCTTTAAAAATATTGTATTTAATATATTTCTTTTTATTAAAATAAATAAAATTTTTATTTATTCTATTTTATAATATTATCCAAGTTTTGGGAATTTATTTGATTTTTTTTTTATAGTTAATAAAATAAAATATTTAAATTTATATTTTATGCAAAATTGTATTTACCTATATATGTAGAGTTATTCTGTTTTTTTTGTGATTACCCAGATAAAATTCTATCTACGCCACTGTCAAATAGAATATTTGGTAATTTTTAAATCAATTTATTATGTGTACACATTGTACTTTAAAATTCATTATAATGTTTACAGAACTAAATGTTATGTTTTTAGAATTGAAATCAAAGATTCTTTTCCAGTAAACTTAAAAAGTGGACATACAATACATGTGGGACCACCGCCTAGTTCTGGTATCATATTGGCATACATACTCCGAATATTGGATGGGATATTACCAGCACCTGATAATGGTTTAGACGCACATCGATTTGTGGAAGCTTTCAAATTTGGGTTTGGGGCAAGAACCCATTTAGGAGATCATAAATTTGTTGATGTGTCTCATGTAATATTTTAAATTTCTACTATTTTTAATGTATAAATACTTGAATAGATTTACTTTTTTAGATTTACGATAAAGTAAAATCAGATAGTTACATTAATAGTATTCAAAATAATATATCTGATAGTTTTACTTCGTCAGATCCAAGATATTATGGAGCTGATTACGATATGCCAGAGAATCACGGAACTGCTAACATTGTTGTAACGGATTCAATGGGCAATACTGTTGTAGCTACAAGTACATTAAATACTTAGTAAGTATTAAAGTATTTTCTTTATATTTTTAATTGATATAATTATTTTATTTAGTAACATACCAATTTCATTTTTACTTCAGCTTTGGTTGTGGTTTCATGTCTCCTAGTACTGGGATACTTTTAAATAATGAAATGGATGATTTCTCTACTCCTGGAGTTATCAACTATTATGGTATTCCATCTTCACCCGCCAATTTCATCGAACCAGGCAAGCGACCAATGTCTTCAATGTGTCCAACTATATTTACTGATAAAAATGGTGATTTTGTTCTTGGAGTGGGAGCTGCAGGAGGTTCAAAAATCACTCTTGCTACTGCATATGTATGATTTTTTATGATATATCTATATTAGTAAAAATTTTTTAAATTGATTTGAAAGTATTCTAGTTTTTTTTTTTTTTTTTTTTTTTTATTAAATTAAAGTGTTTCTGACATACAAGGTCATCTAACTTATTAATATGGGTATTCTAGTAAGTTTGGAATTATATCTTATTTAGCTCCTAAATTTAAATAGTTGTAGAAAAAGTGAATAAATAATTTACATAGATTATGGTTACCTACCTACTTTTCTATTATTATTTATACATATAATAGTTATTATTAAAAATTTATCTATTGCTACAAGGTAATTTTTTCAAATTTACCTATGTATAGCTAGGTGTGTACTGTTTAGTTAATTTATTATTCCAAATAATTGTATTGAAATGCATTTTTACCGGTTTGTCATTAAATGTCTCCATGCTTAATAGCCTTTAAAACCCATTTATCTGTATGTACCATTTATTTGATTAATGTACATAAATATATTTTAACACACTTCAGATTAGGTATTAAAATTATATGGATATTATATTAAAAATTGAACAAATCCATGGGATTCAGAAAATACTTCTAATGTTATGAAATTTTATAATATTTCAAAAATGTTTGCTGCTTTTAGGTGTCTGCTCTCAAGTTATGGTACAATAAAACACTGAAAGAAGTGATAGACAAACCTAGAATTTATCATCAACTTATACCTATGGAAGTTCAATATGAATACGGAACAACTAAGGTATGAGAAAAAATAGAATATTGGTTTCTTTATTCATTAATCATAATACTAGTACAATTTTAACTATAATTCCATTGTATCTTTTTAGGATATAGTAAAGAGACTTATGGATATTGGCCATTCAGTCATTAGGTTGAATAATGGAGCATCAGCGGTTACAGCAATAGCTAAAACTTCTTCAGGGATGTTTGAAGCCATGCCAGATTTTAGACGGCCAGGAAATTCATCTGGAAATTAATTCAATATTATGTTTTATATTGATTGAATTTTAAATTTGTTGTATGAAGTACACCTAGTATGTTCCTAAAATATTATTATACCTAACCAAAAAAGTACTATGATCCGGCTTTTTGTAATTTTGTTGTGTATTTAAAAATATTTATTGACGTATTTTTACTGTGCAATTTAGATTAAACTTAAGTTCCACATCCATTTACAATTATTTATTTTTATGAAATATTTATATATACAGAAGTGTACAGTTTTTATGCTTGTATATATTACTTTAATAAAGACGTAACAAAAGAGATGGTTTGTGTTTTGAAGTAGTAATTTCTCATGTTGAAGTTGAATAAATAGAAGCGTTTGTTACTAATTACTATGCTATGGAATCTGAGGGTAATACCTATAATATGAACATATGATATTATTATGGACTATGGTTATACGTTGACACGTCATAATGTGCCTACTACCATGGATTAAGATATATAATATACGTTAGTCTATGTAAAMTAATTACTTACTTTTTTGATGTTTCATAGTTTATAAAATTTGTATTGTACATAATTAATGTTATAAGTGGTAATATTTATCTCTCAAAGCAGTGGCAGTGAAATTCAATTATAATGTAAATTCAATTAATTGGTTGAAAACATAAATATCAAAATGTGGCGTGGAATATTAACCTATTAATTAAAAAATAACAAATACCTACAATAAATAATATTAATAATATCGCTGCCATCGGCCCACTCAGGCATGGCAGAAACCTACGGGTGCCCTCTAGAAATTCTGCTAAACACACAAGTGTTCCAAAAACCTACAGTCCCAAAACCCAACAGTGCCAACCAACCTACAGCTCATGGCCTCAGTTGCAATAAAAGCGAGTAAGTGGATGTCGCTCTGCTGTACATTAGGTGTTGGGGTCAGTAGCGTATATAGAAATAATTTTTGGGGTGGGCTATAATATATATAGCGACTAACAATAATTATCTAGCACCTAGAGACTACAATATAGTTAACAGTTAAGACTGTAATTTCGGGAGGGGCTGCAGCCCACTAGGCCCCCCCCCTTATATACGCCACTGGTTGGGGTGGACCTCTGACTAGGGTAGGTTAGATTTGAATGCAATGATAGGTATCATTGTATACGAAAACGATTCTGAACAGAGATGATTTGTCAGTCTAGGATATATTGTATTTAAATATTGCCATATTATACTCTATTTTGAAACAAATATTTTATTTTTCAATTAGGACGCATTTTGCATAAGCCATGGTTAATCAATTTTTCCAAAAACATTGCATGTAGTTATCTTAATTCATAATACCTTATGCTTATATTATCATAGATATACACATACCTGGTTTGAGGATAAATCGTTATCGTTACGCGATTTCATAAAAATTTAAAACTCAAACGCTCAAAACATTTTTCCTATAATGACGCTTCAAATTTTCTCTATAGCTATTTGAAGCAAAATTTATGGAAAACTTAGTGTTGAATTTTATAACTTTAGATATAAATTCAAACAATTTTATGAATTTTGAACTACAAAATAATTTGCAAATATTMATGGTTTTGACGAATTTTTGTCAATATTTGAACTATAAACGCTTATAAAAAAAAACTGTGCTATGTATTCTTATAATTTTTTAATAACTATAAGAAAAACTAATGAGGAACTTTGTAATAAATTTTTAAGTATTTTGATAGGGCCAAAAAAAATTTTATCGACACTTCAAAAAAATTTTTTCAAAAAAATTGAAAATTTCAGTTGTCTATAAATATCTTAAAAAGTCAAACATTTTTGAAAATTAAACTATATATAGATAACAATAACATAAACATTTGGTGAAAATTTCAAGTATTTACGGTGATTAATTCTTGAATTACAGCCATATAAAAAAATCGATTTGGTCGAAAACTGCAGGTTTTACGTAAGAATTCCCGTTTTTCAGTCATTTTTTTTTTTGTTTTTCTCGATTTGTTAACTGTTGGAAAATGTTTACTTTTGACCTCTATAATGCACCAAGGATATTCACTTTTACATCRGAAACCACCYCCRAAGTTTRAAATTGAAGCATTATTTCGACTAGTTATGCTGTAAACAGACACAAAAAAAAAACACATCATTGTAAAATCAATACATTCATCACTTCGTCCAGGCAACTTTTGTTGCCATTATTACTATTATACATTTTTTTTTTTTAATAACAAAATTTAGTTTCGGTGACGTAGGTCATTGTCCATTGGGATACAAGGATTATTGTTTATATCAAATATTTATTAATAAAGGTATTACTATATGGATTAGTGAATATATTTATAAAATTTTATTTTTGGAGTTCTGCCTTTGAAATGAAATTGAAGCTGGCTGCGAGTGAGGATCTGTTGTGGTCGAGTGATTCTGACAGGTGTTCTGGAAGATTTGAAGCCAATCTTGGTTCGGTGTATGATCGACATTCGGTCATTAAGTGATTAATAATTGTAAGATCAGTGCCGCATGTCGGATATATTGGCGGATCATTTTTACTCATTAGATGACTATGAATGATTTGTGTGTGCCCGATCCGTTGTAATAATAATTCTTCAGTCATTTGACAATAAATATGAGGAAAAAATCAAATATTTGAAATTCTTAAAATGTAATTTAGATGCATCCATATTAACTCGACTTAACATTTAACAAGCTAAAAAAGTTAGTTAACTTGCTCAGCCTTGTAAATTACCATAATAATTAATAGCAATGTGTTTATATATGAATAATAGACTATGTAGCCGGAATACAGTCCGTCTCCGTTCAGAATTGTCTTTCGTTTGCGATTGTTTATCATTGAATTCAAACAACATATATATATCCATCACGATTATATTGACCCACTCGATGACGAGGTATACTAAAGTGCCCAATTCCTATTGTACATTAGGATATAATAATATCAGAGCGGTTACCTACTTTCTCTCTTTTTTATATTATTAATAATCATTATACATTTGCATTGATAAAAATACTTAACTTGCGTATGTAAATTAATATTATAAATAGGTATTGTTTTAATCTTAATCTAAATACTGTAGGTACACATTACAAAAAAAAAAAAACAACTACCTACACAATACTGCAATGTAATTGCCCACTATCTTTCTATTTTAGACTAAAGCCAATTGTCTCAGCATTAACCCTCTCACACCGGTACGAGTATATTAAACTAAAATAGGAAAATTCTAATTTTTAATTGTTTCCATTCTTGTTTATTGGAACCCACCATTTTACTGTATAATATTTATGAGTTATGAATAATGTCCCAAACATCCCAAAGCACCTTTAGTATATTGGTGGGAAATTAACCCATAATTACCTACGTGATAATGTTCGAATATATATTATGTAATTTAAAATTTTCAAAATAATAATATTGCTTATTCATACTTTATATAGATAAATAAATGCCAATAACCTTAGTTGTTGCGGATCTAATAAATAAATAAACTATTGTTGTCATTCTCAATAATATAATAGGTACTATAGTCGAATAATATTGAGGTCAAAACTGTGTAAGAATTATTGTTCTTATTTGTTTTTAAAATCTAGATATAATAATTAGTTACACGGTGGTAGTAGGCATTACAAATTGAATTGATCCTTAATTGATTCTTTCAAGATTCATATCATTATTGGTACCTATTTACGTAATACAATAATCTTTATATAKGTACGCAATTATACTTTATTTATATTCTGTCAAAAAATATATATAAAAAAACTATTTGAATCTTAAACCTTATAATAAGACATATTTTATTTTATAATAAATGATTAATTATTGATTATTTAAAAACTAACGGTGTGCTATAGTAACGTTTTGTCGAAATAAAAGTTAAAGTCAAACCCCATACACGGTGTACAAGTCGTTAGCGCATAATATTTGCCTTTTTTTACAACTCATTTGCGCAAAAAAACAATTCGATTGCCCACATATATTTTGGCTACTTGTGACGAAAATCCCTAGTGTCATAATCATAACTCGTTTTCTTACACATTTTCTTTTTCACTTTAACAAGCTCCGTGAAAACATTTTTTTCTCTCGATTTATAGTTTATACATTGATCTTTGTAGCAATTTTACATCATAATGTTCTAAATTTGGTGTCAAATTCACTTATATTACTCTTCACGGTTGCGTGTATCGGTTATTTTTAAAATTTTGTTTAATTTATTAACAATATAACACTCGCAAATATTTTTTATTAGTACATCTTTTTGGGCACATCAGTACATCACTGGTTATAAGATACATAATAAGCACCTAACCAATAATTATTTTCGCTTTAAAAAATAAAATATGTAAGTACTAAGTAGTATCTAATACATATTAAATAATTACTAATTACTACCTATAGATGTAAGTATAAAACGTCATCCTTATTGTACCTATACCTAATTCATTTCGGATAAATGCTGACAAGAATAGTTGTTAAAATTGTTACGTTTTTTGTCGGGAATTTCATCTGTTCAACCTACATCGACAATTATACGTATAACCATGTCATTATGTGCAATTGCAATATACTTACGCTCAATATGTACTTGAGTGTCTACTAATCTATTCGTTGCTCATTCTCACTCATAAAAGCGTACATATTATTATGTTTGAATAATTCAAGGACGTTAATTGTCATAACTTTTTGGTCATCACTGAACCAAACCTGTCGACGCGCTCTCTCTTCGTTCCAGTGTATAGTTGCGCGTATGTTTCTAGTTTCCTACCTATTTGGCGCGTTATATTTTAATCAGCAGTACGAAATAGAATGTGATGGTATTACAACTTGCACAGTTCGTTGTCGTTGTGGCTCACTAAAAATACATATTTTTTCGATTAATTTTGTTTTCATGTTGTGAGTGTTATGTTTTATTATGTTTGTACATTTTTTTATACAATATAATAAACGAATTGGACGCATAAATTAAAGGTACCAAAAATATWATGTAAAATATTGCCTACACCTAGTATACAGCTATACTTACATCTAAATAATACTAATGTTTATTCTAAACTAACTTGAAATTTGAATATTATTGAGCCAATAGCCTATAAGACTATACAATTTATTAAATATTTTTCGATTCAGTCGTTTGTCTACTTACTTATTTATTATGACATATAGGTATTTAACATTAAACATGCAACATGCTTTTAAAAATTTAAAATACATTTTTTTGTAGGTTTGTACAAAATATATATATTTATGTGTTATGTCGAATATACGGTACCTGTAATGACGATTAAGTTTGTTGCGTGATTTATAAATAAATTTATAATTTATAATTTATTTATTTTACAAAAAAGGCTTTTTACTGTTTTATAGTTTCATCAGTTTCATCAATGCAGTTAAATATAATAAATAAAAAACTATAATATAATACAACATAGGTCATAGAGTGTAGCCAGTGTAGGTACTAACAAATTTTATGCGTAGGTACAATGCACAATATTAAGTCATCCGAATGAGTTAATGTATGGGTAAAACGTGTTTGTATAGGTTCTTTATTGCATATTTGCAAAACATTATTTTATATTAGTACCTATTGTGTTGAAAAAAATAAATAACCAACTAGGTAATTATTTTTACGTTAAAAAAAAAAAAAAAAATCAACTGCTTATTATATTAGTTTACCTATGCAATACAATAATTTTATATATTTAATTTAGCTACTATTTAAAATATAATAAAATAATTTTTTTTTACATAAAATCATTTATGTTATGCTTATACCTACTCAAAGTTTTGAGTACCTGCCATACATTTCCTCTATTATTTGTGTTGAATTGGAAATTTTTGCGGATGTGTATAATTTGAATATTATATTTTGTTATTAATTGATGAATAGTTAAGTATAATTACGCCATACAGATTTATTGTTCAGAACGATGGAGCTGACAATCTGTTAATGGTTTTTTAATTTTTTACCATTAATCGTAGCTGAAGTAAGAACTAATAAAGTATCTACATATTTTTTATTTTTTGAAATTTATTTGTTATTTGATAGGCTTTTTCATTTATGACGATATATACCAATCTTATGCTCTATTATATATGACATAATATAATACACCCAATGGCCTATGTTGCCGCGGGTTCTCTTAAAAAAAAAAAAAAAAAAAAAAAAAAAATAATAATAATTCTAGGCAATCCAAAAGTATNTATACCAATCTTATGCTCTATTATATATGACATAATTGTCGTAAAAACTTGTGCGGTCAAAACTCAGTTAATTTTAAAAAAAAAAAAAAAAAAAAAAAAAATATAATAATAATTCTAGGCAATCCAAAAGTATGAACGTGCCTGTAATTTATTTATTTATTATAAGCATATGCGATACGCCCGACAATCAGGGCTCAGAACAGTTATTTTTCTTTAGATACAACAAAAATAAAACATAATATAAATTATAACATAAGCATATCTTATAATATTAAATCTATTTTCCATTTAACATATTTGAGTATTTAATACTTAATAGTAATGTTTAACATTTAAATATTGATTTAAACCTGGTTAAATTGTCATGGAAAAAATCGAAATTATTTTGAGTTAGATACCAGAAATATTAGCGTTCTATTGATCGCACGAATTGACTTTTAATTATTACAATAAGTGGGTAGTAGGTACATAAAATGCTTTTGACAAACGCGCGATTATTAATTTGAAGAACATTTAAAGGTATTTGGCTGATGAGTAGTTCTGGACAAATTATTTGAGAGTTTAGTAGTTTGTACAGTGATATTGACATTATTTTATGACATAAATGCTAACTTTAATGGACATAAAGTGATTATTATTAATTTAAAAATTGAATTAAATTTTTAAGTTTATGTATATCTACTGAATTGTTCGACTAGATTAATACAATTTTCACGTCATTCATAAAACGCTAACCAAATTACCACGTGAGCATATTATGGTGAACAATTTGTTTCTTGAACAGCTTTAAGAGTTCTCAGTTGTTTAAACTATTATTAAGTACTTATAATAGTACATATTGAAGAATTAAATTGATATGTTTTTATTTATTTCTAATACACGATAATACATAAAGAAATTTAAATTTTTTAAATTTTTCTAGTACTGACCACTTTACGCTGTAATGCTTGGAAATAATTTGTTCACTACGATCATGTACATATTTTATAAACGTCACATGATTTAAAATTAAATTCCTTTTAAAAATGTATTTTTAATATCATAATTGTTTGTAAAAAATTTTTTATCTACATGAACACGTGATGATGCCATCGACAAATTAATATTATACAATATTTTAAGATTTTTAAAATATTTATCAATTTAAAAAGATACGATATTATTCAACGCGAATGACGGATTAATAAAAGTATTAATAAGAACACTTGTCTACAGTTAAAAAAAAATTAATTAATTTTATAATTATCAATWTATATTTTTCATTTACTAGCACCTAATGCTATAGCTAGGACAGCTAGGTACTTATATGTATACAGGGTGATACATTTAAGTGGGTACACTAATTATCGAAAAGTATTGACTTTTTAAAATTTTTATTTAACTTCTATGTTTATGTTTTTCTAAAACCGTATAATACTTGATTTTGTTCACCCTTATATTTATTGGTGTGACCACAATCAAATTTTGATTTTCAAATGGTAACATATAATAAAAATATCATGAATTATTAAAACCATTTTTACCATGAATTTACGCATTAACATTTTTATTTTTCATTAATTGGTTTGCGAGATACAGTCCCTCAAAGTATTAGTGGTTGAAGGAGGTGTTATAGTCCGTAAATTCGACATTGTTTATATTATTTCTTCATTTGTAATAACTAGAACTTAGAAGTTATAACTGGTAAATTCGATACCATTCACAATATAACAATATTAATAATAAGGATAACTGTTGAATTTTGCACCTAATTAATTGAATGTCCTATTAACCTAGTCGATAAGTTAATTAATGAATAGGATTCAAAGTATAATAGTAATCTTTAATTAATTGTTATTTATTTTGTTACCTTGGATTCAACGATATCGAATTTATCACTAAATTCTGATCTTTGCAATTATTGGAAAAATAGTAAGAACCACCAATATTTTGAGGAGCTGTACCTATCTCGCAAACCAATCAACGAAAAATAAAAATGTTAGTGCGTAAATTCAGAATAAAAATGTTATCAATTCATGATATTTTTTATTATATGTTACCATTTGAAAATCAAAAGTTGATAGTAGTTTCACCGATAAATATAAAGGTGAAAAAAATTAAAATATTATAAGGTTTTAGAAATACATAAACCTAAAAGTTAAAAAAAAAAATTGAAAAATGTTTATACTTTTTGAGATAATTAATGTACCCACTTGAATGGATCAACCTGTATATTTAAATGTCAATCCTTACAACGAATAATTAAAAATTATATTTCAGTATTTATTTTATGCTTGTTAAGACTTTTATAGTTACCTACATATCATTTAATACATTAAATATTTAAATTTTTTAAGACATTTTCAATTTGTATTGTAGGCACATAGTTAATTGTCACAACTGCAGTGTTATGTAATTTTTTATATAATAAGATAAGTAAATCCATTTTGGAAAATTTAAAGTGTTGATTTGTCATTAATAACATTGGTAATCGTAGGTCAGTGATACCTACGTCCTACAGTCTGCATTATYGAGTAAGATCACCTTTCTCTTATTTTGAAATACGATTGTAATCAATGAAATATCAAAAATTATTAGTATTGTGATCCATCTCATAATATGGCTATACTTAGGTATGTATTTATTACTTACTAGCTTCATACTTAAACATTAGTAATGGAAACTAATAATATTACGTTTCATAAAATAATTATGTGCATGACTGTTTTATTTTAGATTCTGAGTGGAGCGAGAAATGTATTGATTTTACCATGATGTGTTTTTTTTGTCTGTCATCACGTTTTGGGGCAGTAAAACTGTAAAAGTGCTTCGATTTTTGACTTTAGTACCTCGTTAGATCAGAAAGTGAATCAGTACAATATTAATATTTTTTGAATACATGTTAATGTAGATGTTGCAAATTAATTATATTTATATTAATTATCAAATAAAAGTTGTATACGTCTTCGTTGCATAAAAAATGATTGTATAACGTCTTCAATAATTTTTTGTTTTTGCTTTTTAACAATGTCTTTAATATGCGTGTCATTAAATTAACAATAGTCTTAAAATATTCCTTTTTATTAATTGTTTTTAAATTAATATCGATACAAATTTATTTGTTTGGTAGAAAAGCTTGAAAATTTAATAAAAGGCTCATAACACGTTGTTACAATAGCAGTTGAAAAATAAAAGAAGTATATAATCACAATTTTTTTTATAAGCATTCAAAGTTTGAATTTTGACAACATACATAAAAATCACGAAAATTCGTAAATTATTTTATGCCAGAAATTCATAAAAGTTTTTCTTTTTAAATCTAAGATTTGAAAAATTTTAATAATCTATAATATATCTTAGAAAGATAAACCATCTTCGCTCAAAATCATTTTTTGTATACAATGATATAATATCATTGGATTTAAATTTAATTCCATCCATTACAGTAACCTACTGTACAGCAGAGGAATATTCATTACTTACCCGCTTTTTTTGTTRTTCTATAGCCCAGGAACTATGTTTATTAGTTATTATAAGGGTTACATTAAGGGTTAATATGGTTGGTACGTTTGGTCGGCGACACGTGTAACTAAATGTGGCAAGGTTTTTGTCATTATGATCCCGGGTGGTCACCCATCTGAGAACTATTAGTGGCAGCGAGAGTTGATGTTTTCTATCACGTTGCAAGAGTACATGACGGATTGCAGAACCGTGCCACGTCGAGCCACGTGCATGACTATTATGCATGACTTTCAAGACAACTGTCTTGATGACTTGACTTCATAGTTCATTTGTAATTTTCTTAGTTAAAAATATTTTCGCGATCATAGTATACATTACATTAAAAGAGGAAACTTTAAAATTTGRAACACAAATAATATATTTTTTTAAGTTAGAAGATAAGACTTTCGAAATGCTGTGTTCACATGTGCAACGCGTTCAAATAGTTATAATACTAGTTATTAGTATTTTAAAACAGCTCTAACATTTATATTATGCATTTTTTTATTATTTTACAAGAAACATTCAAGTATGCATGTTTCTTGTAAAATAATAAAAAAATTCATAWTGTGTAAATATTTCATGACTGAAAACAAACTATTTTTAAAGAATTTAAATAAAAAGCTATTTTTTTTTTCTAGCATTAGAAATTCGTTTAATTATTGTGCAATGCATCCAATAAATAAATATCAGTACATAGTCATCGAAATCAATTTTATGATGTTAAATTATGATTATATTATTTTCTACAAATTAAGCATAAATTGCATAAATGTGTTATTTACTTAAGTTAAGTTATATGTTTACAAATGTGCTTTCCAATAATCTATATACATACAATTAAATAATTACAAATTATGATCATTTGATGATTTCGTATCCCAATAAAAAMAATACAATTCTCATATTCAAATAATAAGAAATAATTTTATCWCCTACCTCRGCACAAAYATTACCAAATTACATCCAGTGAAGGATTAAAAGATAATAATATAAGCTGAAACGCTTTAACACCTAAACAAACACTACTAAAATGATCAAAAAGTATATTAAGATGCATCAGAGTGTAACAAAGGAGTAGAAATACCATATTTAAATCGAAGTACAAAAACATTCAAATATTATACATTAATGTTATATTGTAATTTATAATATTATGAAACATTAGAAACATTATACGATTGTGAAACTCGATGTAATATTTATTTTTTTT